GGGGGCCCGTCGGCGGGCCGCGGCGCGCCCGCCGCCGCCCGCCGGCCAAGGCCACTGCAGATGCAATTTCGGCGGGCGAATGGGTCATTGGTGGGCGCGTGGAGATCCGCCCGAACTGCGCGCGCCGCTTCGAATGCTCTGCGACCCTCCTGGCGCGACTGCCCATCAGCTCTGTTGCCGGATCCCTCTTGCTGCGTCCGAGCCATGACCGCCGCTCCTTCGACCTCGACCGATTGGCCCGTTGCTTTTTTTTGAGGTTGAGTCCGACTAGATTGGGGCGGGGAACTGCCGCGGAGCCCCATTTTCGCCCCGAGGCCTCGTTGAGGGACGTCTTTCCGTGCGCGACGTGCTCGCGGCAGGCGGGGCCTCGGCGCGCGCGCTCGCTGAGGGCGGGGGGGGGGGGGGTCGCGGGGGGCAGGGGGCGCGCCGCAGGAGCACGGCGCCCATCGCACAGCTTCCGCGCAGCCATGTTCGGATTCTTCTCCCACCCCGGTGCGTCGGAGGATGTTGCGGCGCGGCTGGCGGACGCGCGCGGCCGCGAAGGTCTGCGCCCGCCGGATGATCTGGGATTCTTGCGGGGCCTGGGGGCGGAGGGCCGCTCCAGGATATTGGGCCGACCCCCGCCGCGAGATGCTGGCCGAGTACTTGCGGCGGCCATGGGGGCTGCAAAACGCCAGTCCGAGGCGGTGGTCGCCACTGGGTGTGTGGCAAGTAGCGGGAGCGCACTCGGCGCTTCTGGGCCTCCGTCGGCGCTGCCCAGAGCGTCCGCTTCGCGGCGCGGTGCGGGGGCGGCGGTGTCGACAGGCGCCCTTGCTTCCAATCTTCCCCCGCTGGCCGGGGCAGCGGCTTCGCGCCCAGCGCGTGGGCCCCCTCCGCCCTTGATGGCCGGAACTTCTGTTTCGTGCCCAAGGGGCGTTTCCGCTCGGCCCCCGTTGGCCGGAGCTTCAGTTTCGCGCCCGGCGCGTGGCTCTGCCGCCTCGCGCGGCCGCGGCGCCGCCGCGGAAGCTCGCGGCCGGCCTCGTTTTCCTTTGTCGTTGAAGGAAAGGGGTTGAAAGGGGTCGCGCTCAGCTGGGTCGGGCATGGGCATTGGGTTCTACTCGCCAGTTGTTCATCGCGCGCGCGTCGCACTCGCCCCGGCTGCGCTCGCTGGCGCAAGTGGGAGCGGCGCAGCGGGGGCGGCGCCTGGCTTTACAACGCCAAATTTACCTCGCAGAATCCCAAACAGCTCGCGGGCTCAATGGGCCACGCAATAAAGCCCGGCAGCTCCTCTTGGACAGCTTGAGCTCCTCATGGGACCTGGCTGACGTCGCGGCGCGGGATGTCGCGCCATGGGCGTTCGACCAGCAATCCCGTGGCGCGCCGAACATTGAAGTGGACTGCGGGGCTACAGGGTTCGAGTTGCACGTCCAACATCCACTTGTAATTGCTCGAAAGGACGGCGCTGGCGGATCATTGGGAGTGGCTCCCCCGCCGTTGCAGGCGCGGAATTTCTCGGAATAGCAGATCATGTGCTTCGAGCGCTTGGTGTTCGATTCGTGCGAGTCCATCCATGCATTGTGTTCCGTGTCTTCTGCTTGCATGGCTCGCGGTGCTTTGAGGTGGTCCGATTTTCAATGTGCTGAGGGCTCGGCGTGCACAGCAGATGCAACCGCAGCAAAATCGACCATGAAGCGTCGACGCTGTTTGGTTGCATGGGCGGCCCGCGCGGCAGGCTTCTCCGGACTCGAGTGGGGTGGCAAGTGGATAGCGCGCTACTTCGCGCAGAGCTGCCGGGGCAGGACTTCGCGCTGCTTGCTGCGAGCGCGAATTGCACGCGGCTCACGCGCCACATTGCCGAGTTGTCGGATGCCCACTGGGTTTTGCGGACACTGTTAACCCTCCCGGCATTCAATAGTTATGTCGGCGCAAACCGCTCTGTCGTACTCGCTACACGGGTTCATGCACATGTATGTTACTGCTGCGCGGCAGTTGATGCGTCCGTATCAGGCGCAGGCGATGATGGGCCATTGGTCGGCTTCTTCGCTGATGCCGCAAAGGTATGACAGCGCAGCTTGTTCCTCGGAGTTGGCAGAGAAGTAGGTGGTGCGCGCCGCGGTAGCCAGAGGGTGGCGCACTGTGCCAGGCGCGTGCTTGCCGAGGCCGGCCCCCGCCCCTGAGGCGCAGCGCGCTCCGTCTACAGAAACTGGAGTGCGAGCCCCCGTCGGGAAGCAGGTGTTGCCTGGGCTTCGCCGTCCTTCCATCGTTCATTGGTGGGTGTCTGGCGACTATGCCGTGCGTCGTCCGTGGCAATGCATGCGCGATGGCGTCCCTGTGCCGGAGCTACGGCCCAGTCGTGCGATTGGGGGTGGCCCAACGAGCCTGCGGGCATTCCCTGGCGCAAGCACTGCTTGCGCGCAGGATGCGAGAAACGCGTGTGGCCCGGACACGCGTGATTGTCCTGCATCCGTTGGCCCTCGGTGGTCATGTGTGCAGGGCCGTCGGTATGTCATGGGCGCGGCCCTTGGAACACTGTGGCTGGGGGTGCCATTTCCCATGGGCACCGGGCCCCCCGTGTTGTATGTTCTGCGCGGGAAGTGGTGGAGTGGCAAAAGGAAAAGTACGTCATCAATATCTCCGTCCTCCATGTCATCCATCGTCCCCCTCTTGCACCACTTCCTTTCTACTATTGCTGCCTCTCTGCTCCCTCCTTCACCTTTCCTCTGCGCGACATGCTTGTGGCACGTGGGGTCTCGGAGTGCATGTTCGTTGAGGGTGGGGAAGAAGGGTCGCGAGGGGCAGGGGGCGCGCCGCAGGAGTGTTGCTCGGATCGCACTGCTGCTGCCCACCGCTCCCTCCCGCTCGCGATCATGGCCGCGCCCGTGCCTGCGTCTCCCGAGTCGAAGGCAATCCTTGGCTCGCTGGAGAGCCCTGTGCCTTGAGGGTTTGAGGCCTTCCTGCTGCGCGAAGGCATTCGCGCCCTGATTGCCATTGGTTTTCCTGCGTCCAAGGAGGATCAGGCCACAATGCGCACCATTGACGCGACAACCCTCCGTGACTGAGCGCCTGGGGGCTACGCGTGCAGGTCCCTTGATATTAGAATCGTGGCAAAAGGGGTAGAAGTTCTAAACATGTCACTTGAGCGCATTATGTCAAGCTTTGGGCGGGGCCTTCCGGATGGGACCTGAATCGTTCCACCTTCATCCATGCTTTTCTTTCCGAATGAACTGGACATCCCGTTCACGTCGACTTCCGCGTGCCATTTTACAAATGGTGTTCTCATCGGGCTCCGCCGCCAGGCGAATTAGATCCAGATGAAGTCCCACTGCCATCGGGGCTGAAGTCGTAGGAGCCATCGTGGACGCGATGCGCAGTGAACCCGCATAGTAAGGATGGGCATATTATCCAAGGGTACCCTTGCATCCCTGCCTTCTCGCTCTATAATTGTCCACTTTCGCTGGCGGCGCCCCGCTCGAAAAATATCTGCATGGGCGTCCAAGGCCCTTTGCATCCTTATCGCGCATCCTTATGACACGGGACGACTGTAGTTGGCTGGGTCTGAAGAGTACATGAGGTTGAAGAGGTGCGAAATTTACATGTTGCAGTCCGTCGCGGGCAACATGCCCATCGCTGTTACATGGTGCTGGCCGGGGCGCGCATGTTCAGCGCGGCGTCATTTTTTTTTGGGGGGGGGGCCAGGCCTACCCTGAGATGTGCTGGCGGTTTCTTCAGATACACGTGAAATCTTGTTTCGCGAAGGCGGTGGATCTGCATACAACTCCCGGAGCACCGCTTTGCCGACCAGTGGACAACAGCACCATGCCGCCAGTGCCAGAGTGCCACAGCCCCTGCGCCAACTGTCCAGTGGGCCGCGCGCCGCCCCCCCCGTCTTACCACGGGGCGGCCCGGCTGTTGAGAGGAGCTGCGGGCCCCGAGCCCCAGCCCGGAGTGACAGGTCGTCCTGCGTCAGCGAGGCGCAGTGGGCAGCAGGAGGGTCAGGAGGAGGAGCAGGAGGAGGAGGAGGAGGAGGAGGAGCAGCAGCATGAGGAAGGGGGGGGGGGAAGAGGGGGACGATGAACAGAATCAGGCGCAGGCGCAGGAGCAGGAGCAGGAGCAGGAGCAGGAGGAGAAACCCTACGGATACGTCGGGAGGTATTGTAGGTTTGGGGGAGGAGGAGGAGGAGGAGGAGGAGGAGGAGGAGGAGGAGGAGGAGGAGGAGGAGGAGGAGGAGGAACATGAGGATGAACAACAGTTGGGGGGGCAAGGGTAGCGCTCAGGGGATGATCGTGATGGTGATGATGAGGGTGATTCTCATGATGATTCGCAAGACCATGATGATGATGAGGTTACTGGTGACGACGATGATGATAACGACGATGATAATGATTCCGATGTTGATGCTGGTGCTGATAGTGATGATGGTGGAAATGCTGGTGATATGATGATGCTGCTGATGATGGTGATGATGTTGCTGATGGTAATGATGAAGATGATGCTGATGATGATGATGATGATGATGATGATGATGACGATGGGAACGATGATGCTGATGATGGCGATGATGATGAGGATGATGCCGATGGTGGTTTCGATTATGATGTTGGTGTTGATGCTATGCTCCTGTGATGGGGGTGGTGATGGCTACGGTGGTCGTGATCGCGATGGCGATGCTGGCGAGGAGGGGATGCTGGGTAGAAGGAGGAAAAGAACGGCAGAGGGTTGCGGACAATGAGCCAGATCAGAGAAGTCGTTGGATGATGAGGATGTTGAATTCGGGGATGTTGGGGGTGCAGGGCGTAGGGGGATGAAGTCGTTGACATATGACATGGGCATTGAAACACCATCGATAACCCCCAACTCCTCCCCCTCATCCTTCTCCTCCTGATCTTCCTGGTTCCTAAGTTTGTTCCTCCCCCGTCGCCTTTTCTGGGGGCGGGGGGGGGCGGTAAGGGGCGGGACTGGTGCGAGAGAGAGAGAGAGAGAGAGAAGTTGGCAAATGGGGAAGTCAGCTCTGGTACGGCAGGACTGGGGCGAGGACTACTTCATGGGCCACTGCCCAGAGCTCAGCGCACCCTAGCCCAGACTTCTGGCTACTCGAACTTGCGCTGGTGTTTTTGTTCTTGCCAATCGGGGTTTTAGGAGGCCATCTCTGGGCCTCAGGGGCCGTCCAACAACACCGACTCGGGATGAAAGACGAATGTCAGTCAAGGGGTTGAGGTCCATGGCCTGGCGGCTTGAACAAATCGAATCGCAAGAGATCTGGATTCGTCGACTGGGGCTCGATCTGGCGGAGGAGAAGGAGAATCACTAAGGAGTAAGAGGAGGAGAAGGAGGAGGAGGAGCAGGAGGAGAAGGAGGATGAATAGGAGGAGGAGGAGGAGGACGATGATGATGATGATGATGATGAGGAGGAGGAGGAGGAGGAGGAGGGCAACGACGAAGATACTGAGAGCAAATTCGCAGGAAGCGGAGGACCAGAGGGAGGAGGAGGAGGCGGAGGAGGAGGAGGAGGATGAGGACAACAACGACGATAAGGTCTGATTCCTCCTCTTCCTCCTCCTCCTCCTCCTGCTTTTCCTCATCCTCCTCCTCCTCCTCATACTCCTCTTCCTCCTCCTCCTGTCCGTAGCAATTTTGGGCTCAAGACTTGTTGCAGCTCGCCCTTCCTGCTGTACTCGTCTTCATACGGTTATCTGTCTTCTGCAGTTGGATGGCGGCGCCCAAGGATGCCCCAGGGGCGGTCCTGGCGGCCATCCAGGCGGCGGGCCTTCGCCGAGAGCTGCAGGAGCATCTCCTGCGGGCGGGCGGTGGAAGCGGCTGCTGTGGAGACCGTGCGCGGCGGTCGCGCTGGCGCAACCTGCGGAGCATGCGGAGTCCTGGACGAGGTGGATAGCACCTTGGTTCGTGCCGGGCAGGCCCTTGGTTGCCAGGGCGTGGCGAGGATGTCCTCGCCAAGGACTGGGTGGCGCTGCGAGCCGGCTGGCGCGCGCTCGCCCACCCCTGGTCTGGCGTCGAGGCGAGGGTGCTGCACGCCGTCAGATCCAGGAGCACGGCGAAGGGCGACGCGCTGAGGGAGGCCGACACCGAGCACCCGTCGGGCGTCCGGTACGGCGAGGAGGTCGCGAGCGTGGACGACACGTCTGGTGTGGAGCGGGCTGCAGCTGTCGAGGGTTCGGGCCTACGGCCTTGCGGGCGTCGGGCTCGCCGAGCGGAGGCCGATGCCTCGTGGCGGCGCGATGTGCGCTGGCGAACCCCACGGCCACGGCGGCTGCAGGCCAGGCCAGGCCAGCAGAGCGGAGGAGACCGTGGCTGGCAAGGCGGCGGCCGAGGCCCAGCGCTGTGTGGCGGCTGCCCAGATCGCGGATGCCGAGCGCCTTGCGGAAACTCGCTTGCTGGACATCCAGAGGGGGGCCGAGGCCATGAGCAAGGCGGAGTCCAGGCGGTCGACGGCCGTGCAGCGCGCCGAGGAAGCAGATGGTCGCGCCGAGCAGTGGCAGCGGGAGCTTGACGATATGCGGGCCGAGGTTGACAGGCTCGATCTCGACAGGAGGCCCAGCATTGTGCGGCGGCTGCCCAGATCGCGGAGGCCATGCGCAAGGCGGAGGCCGAGCGGTCGGCGGCCGTGCAGCGCGCCGAGGAAGCAGATGATCGCGCCGAGCAGTGGCGGCGCGAGCTTGACGATATGCGAGCCGAGGTTGACGGGCTCATTCAGCAGGGAGGCGATCTTCGAGACGCTGGAGGACTGCATGCTGCAGGCGATCGCCGTGGCGACGGAGCCGCTCCCCGCGTCGACGGCGGCGATGCCTGGCACTTGGGAGAAGTGCATGCAGGTTGCGATCCTCGAGACGCTGGAGGCTAGCGGGAGCGGAGCTGGGTGAATCTTCATAACGACGACGGCGAGGGAGTCGGGGGAGCCCATGAGTGGCCTGCGCTGGGGAAGCCCAAGGCCCAGCGGGGGCAAGCCGCCCGACGCGAATATGGAGGCCTGGCGGTCGGCAACCACGTGGCCGTCTCGGCGCCGTTCCGAGGCTGTGGCCACTGTATCCAGACCCCTGCTTGCACCGAGGGCGTGGTCAACCAGCTGGACGCCGACGCCGTGTACATCACGTGGCGCAACCCCGTGCATTGCATAGGCGCGGCGATGGTGCCGAACAAGCTGGTCGCCAAGCACCTCATCAATCAGAGTCGGCCGCAGTCAGCGTGGGCGCAGCCTGGTGGCTATGCGTGGTGACTGTACGCACCTAGCGCTGGCCATTTTGGAGAGGCGCTGAGTGCTTGGCCCGTGCGGGCGAAGCGTGGCGCTCCCGAGCTCGGTCCGGCGCGGCTCGAGAGTCTTTGGTTCTTCGGGCCCCTCGCTTTCGGAGCACTTCGGGAACCCCCCCTTGGTTCCTTTAGTGGGGGGGGTGGCGGGCCCCTTTCTGGGCCGCCGTCGTCCGTGTCAGGCGGCGTGCTGTTTGGTCCTGGCTTCCTCCTCGGATTCCTGTGACTGGGCAGCGTGCCCTCTCGGATCCGTCGGGTCCCTCGTCGCCGACGTGGCCGTAGGCACCCGCGAGCGCGAGCGCTCGGCGCTGCCGATTGTAGCTCCGCGTTTCAGGGGCATGTCACCTCCCGCCGCGCAGCTTGCTCCCTCCTCCTCCTCCCCCTCCATCTCCTCCTCCCCCTCCATCTCCTCCTCCTCCTCCTCCTCCTCCTCCTCCTCCTCCTCATCCTCCTCCTCCTCCTCCTCGGTCCTCCGCCGACTCCAGCCAACATTTGTTTGAAATCGGTCGCCGGATCCCTTCCAGTGTCCGTCCTGGCCAGTTTCCAACCTTGGATCGATGTGCCACGGCTGGGGCCCAGACCCGGCCGCTCAGAGATCCTCCAAGGGCATGGCGCAAAGGCTAACTTGGATCGATTCTCGAACGTCGACGCTCGAACGCCGCGCGCTCCTGGGAAGGGCCCAGGAGGCCGTCCTCCTGGAAGGGTGGGCGGGGTGGTGAAAGACGAGGATCCAGACCCCCGCGCGTCATGAACATACTTCACTACGCTTTTGGGCTATATCGGCCTGTGGAGGCCCTGTGTCAGGCCTTGGGAGCATCAAGCATCAGCTCAGGTCATAAAGCCGGTCCTGGGGAAAGGTCCGAGGCCTCTGGGGTCGACGTTGTTTGCATCAGCGCGACGTCAGGTGCCTGGGGAGGAGGAGGATGAGGAGAAGGAGGAGGAGGAGGAAGAGGAGGAGGAGGAGACAGACGAGGAGGAGTATAAGGATGAAGAGGAACGGGGGGGAGGACTGGGAGGAGGAGGAGGAGGCGGAGGAGGAGGAGGAGGAGGGGGAGGAGAAGGAAGTCGAGGGAGGGAGATAGAAGGAGGAGAAGGAGGAGGAAGAGGAGGAGGAGGAGAAGGAGGAGGAGGACGAGGAGGAGGATGACCAGTGTAAACCCAAGACTCATCAACGACGTTGCAAGAAACACTCCGTCCAAGTTCCCTCGACATTGTCCCCTGCATGGATTCATTTTCACTGAAGGGTGTGCCCCGTTGGAAAACAGCCGTGTGAACATTCTGCGCTGCGCAAGAGCACGACTCCTTGTACTTCACGCCGTGAATCACCGTCACTGCTGCGTGTTGACGACCCTAACACGTGCCATGACATCGTTCCTGGGGCGTCAACACCACTAATCAGAGTAACTGTTACGCCCTGACAGTCCGACATCGTGCCAAACTATATTTTCTGACACGTTAACCATGCTAAACCTTGAAGCGGTTGTGAACTCTGTATGCGCGGCGCTCAGGCGAAAAACACATGTTGCGAAGGAGCCGCCCTCCATTCGTGAAACTCTGGCAATGTTTTTAAAAAGTGTGTGTGCGGCTCTGCGGCGAGAGCCACATTTTGAGAATGAGCTGTCCTCCATCCGCGGAATGCTTGCGTATTTTGAACGGGTGTGAGCGGTGCTACGGCGAGAGCCACAGGTTTAAAAGGACCTGCCCTCCATCCGTAAACCTCCTTGGCAAGTTTTGAATGTGCGCAGCGTTTTAGGCGAGAGCCACATTTTGGAAGCCACCTGCCCTCCATCCGTGGAGCGCCTGCACATGTTATGGCGTTCGGGCGAGAGACACACGTTGAGCACCACCCGCCTTCCGTCCGTGAAACTGTTGCAGAGTTTGAGCCTCAGGATCATACCTGGTGAGGAAGTCTCTGGCGAAACGCCTGGCCCACCCTTTCGACTGGCCTTGGGGTGTGGCAGGGGGGAATTGCTTATATGGAAAAGGAATAGAGAAGGAGGATTGGGAGAAGGAGGAGGAGGAGGAGGAGGAGGAGGAGGAGGAGGAGGAGGAGGGCAAGGCGAAGGAGGAGGAGGAGGAGGGGGAGGAGGGAAGGAGGGCAAGAGGATACTCGGGACAGGGTTGAGACAAATCAGGGGGGTTCAGGACGCCCGTGGGGTCTGGTACCGAACCCCTCGGGCGCGGAGCGCCCTGTGCTTGCTGCTGCCGGAGGCGGCCGCGGGTGTGCCGCGACCTAGCCCAGAAAACCCAGCGGGGGGGGGGGGGGCTTTTGAAGACAGCTCGGACCGAAGGTCTCGAGATAGAGGGTCTCGAGGTACGTAGGGCCGAGGACCGAGGACCTCGAAGTCGAGGGTCGACCGATCGATCGAGGGTCGACCGATCGATTGAGAGACCGAGGCCGATCGATCGATCGGTCGGTCGACCGCTCGATCGGCCTCTTTCGGACCACCCCGCGGGGGTGCCCTGCGCGCGCCGCCCTGGAGCGCCGCCCGTCCGGCGGGGGCGCCCTGAAGGCCTGGACTACCTCGGGGTCACGCCCGCCGACGACTTCTCCGTCATCAGCGACGGCGTTTGCGCGGGCGCCGGCCCCATAGGGGAGCACACTTCCGCCGCTCGCGGCCCGGCCCTGGGAAGCGTGGACCGCCGGACGATCGGGACGGAGTGGGAAGGGGAAGGAGGAGGAGGAGGGAGCGAGAGAGCAAGGATGCAGGAGGAGGAGGAGGGAGGAGCGAGAAGAGAGGAATGAGGAGGGAGGAGGGAGGACGGGAAAGGACGGGGAGGAGGGGGAGGAAGGAGGAGGCGGAGGAGAAGGAGGAGGAGGAGGAGGGCGAGGGAGGAGGGCGAGGGAGGAGGCCGAGGGGAAGGAGGGACGGGGGCATAAGCGAAGGGACAGGAGAGGGGCGGGAGGCCTTGTGTTCCCCCGAGGCGCCGACTGCATGGATCCGAGGGCGGCGGCCTTCCACCCGTTCAAGTCGGCCGACAGCTGGGTCGTGTGCTGGGGCCTGGCCCAGGACGGTCTCGGAGTCACTCTCTCTCGATCCCTCTCTCTCTTCTATCTTTCTCTCTCTCTCTCTCTCTTTCTCTCTCTCTCTCTCTTTCTCTCTTTTTGGGTAGGAGATCGATTTCACAATGTTTAGTCGTAGACGTGAATACCCCTTGGCCCTTTCTCGCCCGCCAGGTCAAATGACTGCCTTCGCGTGCTCCGCATCGCGGCGGCTCAAGTCCAAGAGGCCCCAGCGCGGCCGGGCGGCGGCTCAAGTCCAAGAGGCCCCAGCGCGGCCGGCCCCGGATGGAAGGCGGGCCGCCCTCGCTGTGGGCTACGCTGGTGGCCACCTGGAGCGCGACTCTGGGCGCTTGCTGGACCTGGGGCTCGTCAGCCCCCGCGGCGCCCGCCTGGCCGCCGCCTCCGCCGCCTGGCTGCGGCGTCGAGGAGGTCTGCCACTGCTCCTGCGACGCGGAGCTGCGGCGGATCATCGACCTCCAGGCGGAGGTCTGGGCGCTGCGGTGCCTGCTGGTGGCTGGGCTGCTGCTGCTCAGCCTCACTGCCTCCAGCGCGGGCGCGCTGGGCTTCCTGGCCGGGACCTGCCGGCGCTGCCGCTGCGGCTCGCGCGAGAGGGCGCCGCCCGGGGGCTCCCCACGCGAAGCCCCTGATCGCGCCGCGGCGCCTCTGGCGGCGGCGGCTGGCACGGCTGGCCCGCTGACGCCGAGCCGTCGTCATGGCTGACGTCCTCACGCTGGATGTGGCGGACCCGCAGATCTTGGTGCGGTACGAGAACGACCCGCACGGGTTCTACTGGCACCACCGCGTGCTGCTGTTCCGGGTGAGCGAGGACATTTGGATCTGCCTCACCCCGGATCACGATCTGGTCCGCGTCAAGCTGCTTGACGTGCGGCACGAGGTGCTCGAGCGGAGGGCGCCCTTCCCCGCGCATTTGGCGAATCAGGTTTACGCTCACGACCCGATCGCCGGGGCCGCGCTCTCTGCCTTCCGCCGGCGCGCGAAGCTGCAGGGGCAGCTGCTCGGCGTGGGCCAGGTGGACGCCATCGAGCGGATGATCTGGGTGGTCGCCGAGCCGCGGTCCGAGCGCTTCGGCGAGATCGTGGACAGCGCCATCATGGATGATGACAACCGCGGGATGGGCTTCGACCAGAAGGGCGTGGCCGTCCTTGACGGCGAGGAGGTCTTCGTGCAGAAGATCGCGGCGAGCAGCCTGAACGACTTCAAGAGGGAGGCGAAGGCGGACTTCGGCGACGTGCGCACTCTGGGCGACCACCACGACGAGGCCGGCATGAGGAGCCTGCGATTGTCGGAGGCGGTGGCGCTGATGCGGGACACGGACCAGCCGAACTTCCCGCTGGCAGGCGTCAAGAGCGTCAAGGAGTTCCTGGACAGTGTCGCGGCGGGCCCTGGTAACATGACGTCGTACCAGGCCGAGTGGGAGCGACTCAGCGGAGTTGGCGAGGAGTCAGCGGTCAACCACGTACATCGGAACTTGTGTGAAGTGATTCGACTCATGCACTCGTGGGACCAGGTGGATCTCTCTATGCTGGCATCCGCCGAGCTGCTGGTCCGCTGGATGATCCAGACGGAGATCGCCGTAGAGCGCAACCCGCGCCATCCCGACTACAGTGGATTGGATATCGTGATCTCCGCGCCCGTGAACGCCGCGGGGCGTGCTTCAACGTCGAGGTTCAACACGTGGGTCGCGGACAGACTCAAGGAGCGTGCGACGATCTGGAAGCAGGAGCGGCTCTACCGCGAGGAGCAGAAGCAGGTGCGCAAGGGCGACGGCAAGGGCGGCGACAGCTTCGACCCCGCCAACCCGAAGAGGCGCCCGAAGAAGCCGAAGGGAGGAGTAGCCGGCGCTGGTGGCGGCGCCGGCGAGGAGGGATGACCTCCCTCCGGGCTGCGGGGGCGCCGGCGCTGGCAGCCCGGGCGCCGAGAGAGCCCCCCCGCAGCCGTCACGTACGTGGGCTTGCCGCCTCCGGCTCAGGAGGCATCCGGTCACGCGATCGTCGGCATGGAGATCCTTTCCCACTGCCCTGCGATCCTGGTTGCCTCGGCGATGCATGCGATGCTGCGCGGCTTCAGCAAGTTTTTGACTCGGTTCGGGCCCTGAACCAGCTTGCTGCCGCCAACCTGAATTCACGTCGTGCTCAGGGGCATGACCTACCACCTGAGGGCCACCTCCGGCCCACCGCTGTGCAGCGATGGATGCTCCAGAACGTTGCGCGGCGGGTTGAGGCATATGGGGCTCGCCCGACTGACCTTACAGAGGAATCATCTTTGTCGGAGATCCTCGACTCACGAGACCACTACGGCATGGAGCCCAAGAACTTGGCCAGCTTCGACTTCGACAAGGTCAAGATCTTGCACAGGAGGGTCCACGTTCGTCCTATTCGGCGCGAGCTCCCTCCCGCGGCGCTTGGCTACATCAGGCACGCGTCCGATCTGATCGAGAGGGACGAAGCGGAGCTTGAGAAGGACCGAGCTGAAGGAGTGGGTTTCTCGCCTTACTGGGACCCCCGTCTTCGGCGCTCGCGAGACCTCCGGAAGCAGCTGTATCAGCGCTTGAGCCAGCAGGGCCTGCTGACCTGGCGCCGGCGGCTGAAGGGGCGCGCGGGCATCTTCGTGGCCAAGAAAAAGGATGGGCTTCAGAGACTGATCATCGACGCCCGAGCGGCGAACAGAGCGCATCGGCTACCGCCCACCACGCGACTTGGCTCTTCGAGGTGCATGGCCGACCTGGACCTCTCCGACCCTCGCCTGAAGGCTTCGGGCTTCGGTGGAGTGGGCTCCGGGACAGCCGCCAGTCCTGCCGGGCTGGATGGCGACGTCGGGGACTGCTTTTACAATTTCACGATCCCCGAGCTCGCCTCCTGGTTTGGCTTCGAGGACCGCTTCGACACGAACGAGCTGGAGAGCATGGGCTGCCGACCGGCCACGATCTGGGACGACGCCGAGGGGGCCGAGACCCAGGTCGAGGACGGGGAGTTGCTCTACCCCTGCATGGCCGCCGTGTGCATGGGCTGGTCTTGGGCGTTGTACTTCGCCAACGAGGCCGTCACCTACCGGGTGGAGAAGACGCTCGAGGACGGCGCCGACCAGATCATGCGCGAGATGCAGCCCGCACCAGTTTTGAAGCCTGGCAAGTGCGTGACAGGCGTGCACGTGGACAACGTACAGGTGATCGGAGGCTGCGGGGCCGACGCAGTGAAACAGATGACAGAGATTGAGAAGAGCTTCAATGAAGACAATATACCCTTTGACGTCGAGCCAGGGGGCGGTTTTGAGATGCAGACGCTTGGCTTGGTTTACCATTGGCGAGAACGGCGACTACGTCACGTCGCCCGGCGTGTCTGGCGGACATACTTGGCCGGCCATGCCCTTCTACGACGTCGTAAGCTACACGGACATGCTCTGCAGTGCTGGCTCGGCCACGTGGTCAACTTGAACCAGCTCTGCCCCGAGGCGATGTCCGCCTTGAACGCGTGTTACCGCTTCATTGAGGAGTCCTTGGAGGCGCCGAAGCGGGCGTGGCCGTCCGTGAAGTCGGAGATTCGATGCGCTATGAATCTCTTGTTCCTGATGGAGGTCGACCTTGGCGCCAACTACTCCGACCAGGTCTACTGCGGGGGCTCCTCGAGCCGCGGCTACGCGCTGCACGTGACCAAGGGTGAGCCCGAGGAGATCCGCGAGGCCTGGAGGTGGCGCGAACGCTGGCGGTACCGGGACGTCCCGCTGCTGGAGGGCCAGGTGAGCGAGGGCCTCAACTACGTGCGGGGCGACGCCCCTGGGACGGCGGCAGGCCCGCAGACCGCCTTCGGCCAGGACCTCCGGAGCAGGGCCGAGGCGCGACCCAGGCCGGCGGCGCCAGCTGCGCCCGCCAAGGGGGCTCGCGTCAGGGTGGCGCTCGACTCGGGGATCCCCGCTGTGGCTGACGGCTGGACTAAACGTCGGCGCTACCACCTGGTGGCCGCCGACCGCTGGCGCTGGCAGGACGAGCACATCAACCTGAAGGAGGCGCGGGTGGCCCTGATGGGGCTGCGACGGCACTGCCGCTCTGTCAGGTTTCTGGGCTCGAAGCTGCTCACGCTCAGCGACAGCCAGGTCACCGTGGGGGCCTTCGAGAAGGGCCGCTCTAGCGCGGGCCTGCAGGCACTGTGCCGGCGCGCGGCCGCCTACCGCCTGGGGGGCCAGATCACGTGGCGGCTCCGCTACCTCGAGACGGATCGGAACCCGAGCGACTTCGACTCGCGCCGGTGGGATGCCAAGCGGCCCGCCTCGCAGGGCCCGGCGCGGGAGCAGACGCCCGCGGCAGCTGCGGTGGCGCCGGCCCATCATCCTCGTGAAATAATAGTGTCGGCCCCAAAATGGCCTGCAGTGACCGATACGACCATTTTGGGCCGGACCCCGTTTTTTGCGGGTCGAAACGCACAATCGCATCACGGCGACTTCGACTCGAGCCAGATGGACATCAAGGGGCCCAGTTCGCGCCAGGAGGAGGCCAGGAAGCCTGGGCCGCCGAGCCCTGCCCCGGGGCGGCAGCAGCCTCCGGCGGCGCGGGACGCCCCCGCCGAGCTCGGCCGCCAGCGAGGCGTCAGCAGCGCGGACATCGGGCACTCCGATGAGCCCGCAGCCCGTTCCTGGGCTGGTACTTGCGAGGGAGAGCGTACTGAACCATCCTCTCCCCTGCCACATCGGTCATCGGCGCCTTCCCCCGCCTCTTCGTCTTCATCGTCTCTCTGTTGTTCTACAATTCAGAACGAGCCTGTTCAATCAGTTTTTTGTCTGGAGTTATTCGGTGGCGTCGGGCAGTTGACTCGAGCCTGCAGGAAGATAGGACTCCCTTTCGCAGACCCCGTGGACATCAAGGATGGTTGTGAGTTTGACTTGTCTCGACGGAGCACGCAGCAGTTTATCCTGGATTTGGCCCGTAGAGGCCGTCTGATGTATGTGCATCTTGGGACACCTTGTCAAGTCTGGAGTATCGCGCGCCGGGGGGTTAAGAACCACGTGCGAGCTCGAGCTAGGGAACGCCTTGGAGTTGAGTTCGCGCTCTTTACGGCCACGTTGTGTCATATACTTTCTCGTCGTGGGCGTTACTGGAGCGTGGAGAATCCGAGGACCTCGAGGTTATGGAACTTCGACCCCATCGCTCGACTTCGTGGACTCGCGAAGGCCACAGAGGTTCACTTCGATATGAGCATGTACGGCACAGCTTATCGGAAACCGACTCGCCTACTCACGAATGTGGAGGCCCTGAGGGCCTTGGGTGATCGACCTCGCATACCGCGCAAGCACGCCATCCTGTTGCACGGGCACCTTACATCTCGGGCTGCCGCCTATCCGTTCGCATTGGGCTCATGCTGGGCTGGCCTCCTGGCTGCTGCGCTTCCCAGAGAGGCGCTTGCAAGCGCGCGGAGCTTCGACCCTCGCGAGATCCGCAATGGCCTCCTCCAGGCCGCGGGCCGTCAGCCAAAGGCTAGAGGACAGGCGCTTCGCTGTGAGGACGGCAGCCGCCCCGAGGTCTGCTGCCAGGCCGCCGACGCGTACCTCGGCGGGGACCCCGTCATCCAGTTCGGTCAGGACAAGCTCCCTCGACACTGGAGGGCCCACCCGCACTGGCAGGCAGCGGCCGCCGGGCAAGGGCCGCCCGCGCCAGCCGTCGGCGCCGCGCCGAGTGGGGGCGATTCGCGCCCCAAGGCGCGAGGCGCTGCTCATGGCCACGGTCACGAACGCGACGCTCGAGCGGTACGCGGCCGCGGTGCAGGAGTTCGAGGTCTACGCGAAGACCAAGAAGCTCGACCTGCAGCCGCTGAGCCGCCTGGGCGACAGCCTAGCTCAGTACTTCGTGGACCTGTGCGACGACGGCTTCGGCGTTTGGGAGGGCCGCAACACCTTGTACGGCTACAGGCTGCTGCGGCTCAAGACGACGGGGAAGGTGGACCTCCCAAAGGCGCTGGCCTCGCTGAAGGGTTGGGTGAAGCGCTCACCAGGCCGGATGCGCCTGCCGCTGCCCGACATCATCGTGGACGACATCGCGATGGACCTGGCGGAGCACGACCTGCCCCTGATGGGCGCCGCGGTGGAGCTGCAGACGGACGCCTACCTGAGGCCCTCGGAGATAGTCGAGCTCAGGCAGGGCCAGATCCTGCCTCCCGCGCCAGCCGCGAAGCTCGGCGCGCACTATGGCGTCGTGATCGCGCCCTCGGAGTGGCACGAGGTCACGAAGACCGTGGGCCAGGACGACAGCCTGCTGGTCGGCGACGTGGCGCGCCCCTGGCTGACGAGCGCACTGCGCCTCCTCCATCAGCCCATGGCGCCGGACTCCCTCAGGCTCTTCGACTTCTCCCTGGCAGAGTACGAGCGCGAGGTGAAGAAGAGTGCCGACCGCCTGGGCTACTCGTCCCTCGGCGTGTGCCCCCACGTCTTCCGGCACTCAGGTGCCTCGAACGACAAGGCGCACAACAGGAGGACCCTCAAGGAGGTTCAGAAGCGCGGCCGATGGGCATCGTCCGCTTCGGTAGCCCGCTACGAGAAGGGCGCCCTCATCCTCCAGCAGCTGCGGAAGATCCCACAGCAGAAGCAGAGGATGGCGGCGACCAGAAGCAAGCGGCTGCCGCAGCTCCTCTTGGATCACCTTCGTAAGCGCTGAAGGCTACCAGTTCATGTTACGGGTATGGGCAAAGCGACCCGTCTCAGAGATGATCGTGTCTTCATGTGCTGCAGGCCTGAGCTCAATGGACTATAGCGTCAGAGGTGTATGAAAAGCTGAGTCCATTCACATCAAGCAGCTACGCTGTTTTGTGCACGTCTGGGCGAGAGCGTCTGGCCTTATGGGGGTGTGTTTAGTCGTAGACGTGAATACCCCTTGGCCCTTTCTCGCCCGCCAGGTCAAATGACTGCCTTCGCGTGCTCCGCATCGCGGCGGCTCAAGTCCACCCGCCCACTGCCACCCTCGAGCTCCTTTTCGCACGTCGCTCGCAATTTGTTGCATTTTCCCGCAGGGCATAGACGGGCAAAGCGACCCGTCTCAGAGATGATCGTGTCTTCATGTGCTGCAGGCCTGAACTCAATGGACTATAGCGTCAGAGGTGTATGAAAAGCTGAGTCCATTCACATCAAGCAGCTACGCTGTTTTGTGCACGTCTGGGCGAGAGCGTCTGGCCTTATGGGGGTGTTTATTTTCCTCCGAACTGATGCTTTTCCCAATCAAATCTACAAGCGAAGTGTACAGTTCATAAGCCTGCGTGCGGTCGATGTGAGTTATGTAGATTCGACGCACATCAAGTCCGTAGCCGATATCCATTTCTCTCTTTCTATCTCTCTCTCTCTCTCTCTATCTCTGTGTCTTTGTGCTTCTCTCTTTCGCTGTGTCTCTGCCTCTGTCTATCTCGGGGGCATCGTCCTCCCCCCTCTGCTCCACGTGGTCGCGTTCGGCGCGCACTTCTCTCAATGTGTTTCTGCCTCCCGAGGCGCGTTCGGTAACAGGGCGCGCTCTTGGTGGCCCGTCCGCCCCCCGCCCGCCTTCACTCTCCCTCTCTCTCTCGCTCTCCGTCTCTATCGGTCTCTCTCTCCCTCCCTCCCTCCCTCCCTCCATCTCTCTCTGTGGGACCTCGAGGAGCAGGAGCAGGTCGAGGGGAGGATGGAGGGGGAGACGTGGGATGGAGGGAGGAAGATCGAGACGAGGGGCAGTTGTAGGCGCAGGGAGAAGCAGAAAGAGAGGGAACAGAGGATGATAATGATGGTGATGATGGTGATGATGGTGATGATGATGATGATGATGATGATGATGATGATGATGATGATGCTGATGATGATGATGATGATGATGATGATGATGGTGGTGGTGGTGATGATGATGATGATGATGATGATGATGATGATGATGATGATGATGATGATGATGCTGATGCTGAGGAGGAGGAGGAGGAGGAGGAGGAAGAGGAGGAGGAGGAGGAAGAGGGAGAGGAGGGGGGAAGGGAAAGGATGAACATGAGGACGCAGGATGACTGAGGAAGAGGAGAAGTAGGAGGGAAAGGAGTTGCGGGATGATGATGAGGACGAGGATGTTGATTCTGGGAGTGAGGGTGACGATGATGATGACGAGGATGGCGAGGATGATGCTGAGGAGCTTGAGGATTAGGGGAGAACGGGGGTGATGAGGAGAAGGGGGAGGAGGAAACGCATGAGGACATATAGTGATGGGGAGGATGGACAGGAGGGTGAGGAGCGGAGCAGAACATTCAGGAGGGGAGGAGAAGCGGGAGAATGAACAGGGGGGGAGAGGATAGGGAAGACCAGGTGGAACGGACGAGGGTGAGGAGAAACAGGATGCGGAGGAGGAGATGGAGGAGGAGGAGGAGGAGGAGGAGGGTTAGGAGGAGGAGGAGGAGGAGGAGGAGGAGGAGGGAGGAGGAGGAGCATGGGGAGTAGGAGGAGGAGGAGGAGGAGGAGGAGGAGGAAGAGGAGGAGGAGACAGACGAGGAGGAGTATAAGGATGAAGAGGAACGGGGGGGAGGACTGGGAGGAGGAGGAGGAGGAGGAGGAGGAGGAGGAGGAGGAGGAGGAGGAGGAGGAAGAGGTGGAGGAGGAGGAGGAGAAGTATGAGGGTGAGAAGGATGAGGTGGAAGAGGAGGCGGGGGATGGGTACAGCTTGCGCGCGGGTTGAGAGCAACCCCAGCTTTAAATGGGGAATGTCACGCTCTTTGTGCGTGGGCTCTTTTCCCTTTCATTCTCTTCGTGCGATGGGTACCTGCACGGGGTCTTGGGCCATCGGCGACAGGGCTCACGTGCTTCGAGGAAACGCATACACGGATTAAGGCGCGTGTGGCGATTGGCCCCGTTTCTACACACATTCGACACCACTGGCGCCTTGTTTAGGGGTAGACTTTTCCCGGTCCGTGGTTTTGACGCCCACGCGCCAGATGCACGGATCCGCATTCCATTTTCGCATGTACGCTTCCCCGCAGGGTCCATTTCGATCCGATCGATGTGGTGCGACATTGACGTTGTCAGGCCCAATCCGATTCGGTTCCGTCGTTCCGGAGATCCGATGCGGACTGATGCTTGAATGGCGCTGGTGTGCAGCCTGGCGCCGCCGCGTCGATCCGATTCTGGCTCCGTTCCTCCGTGTCGATGAGTCCTTGTTCGGTGCGCGTTCCGACTACATCCGAGTTGTCAATTCGATTCTGACTGCTCCCGCCCCCTTCTGCCAGCCCGTCCGCTCCCCCCCCCTGGCGCCAGAGGAGCAGGAGGCGCGCAGCACTTCGGCGCCCCCCAGGCGCATCTCTGGGGCCACGCCCGTGGAGCTCCCGAAGGTGTAGTCGTCGTCGCCGCCGCTGCCGCCATCGCCTTGGCTCAGAGGAGGAAGAGGTACGGTGGGGGCGTTCGAGAAGGAGTGTGCCCAGGAGGCTCCAGACCCCGGGGGGGGGTTCTTCCCTGATGAGGGTGGCGGTGACATCCGTGGCCTGAGATGTTCAGAAACACGCTGGGGGATTTTTGTCCCCCTGTTTTAAGATCGACGCTCTGTTGTGTTTGCGAGCCGTTTTTCTCCGTTTTGGGATTGCCGTCTCGCCGTGTTCGGTTCGTTTTGCGATCCGTTGTCTAATTGTTTGTAAGTGCAGTTTTGTTGTGTCTGTTTCCCGTTTCTGTCAATTGTTTTCTGTTTAGGTGTTGCCGGTTTTTCCTGTTTTGAGTTGCCGTTTTTCGTTCGTTGTGCGCCCGGCTGATGTCGTTTCTGTTCTGTCTTGGGTCGCAGTTTTTCTCTGTTTTGGTCAACCGCAACACGACAAGTTGAAAACGGTGGGCAACAAGCCCCCAGCGTTTTTAAGAACAGCTAGGTCCGTGGCCAATCCAGGATTGGAGTTTCACCGGCTTTCAGACCCTGGATTCCTTGTCCAATGGCTCCTTACCCAATACCTACGTTCACCGTAATGGTAATGATTCGTCTAAAGATTCCCACGATTCCCTCGATTTCGCAGGTTGCCTTCTGTTCCGCACGGGTTGCAGAAACGAGGGCCGCAAGATACTCCCGAATTCCTTGGATGCATCCTGAGCCAGTCGTGTCATGACACCGTTCTCGTCATGGTGATCTTCGCCTGCTCGTCGGTGCCAGGAAGCTGGATGCACACCTTTTGGTTTGTTCAGCGGTGGGGACGAGAGCCAACGCGGTCAAACATCTGGCGGGCCGCGCCGGGCAAGGGCACACTCTAGACAAGTAGAACAAACGTAAGGCCGGCCGCGGAGTGGGGACGCGAGGGGAGGCCCCAGGCGTACAGAGGCTTCGCCGAGAGGCTGGATACACGCAGGGTGCCTCCGAAAAGGGCCTCCGAGGGATCGGAGGGAGGGCGTCTCGCCCTCGGCGGGGGCTGGCGGAAGGCCAGGCAGATGAAAGAGGCGGAGCAGGGCAAGGAGGGGGAGCAGAAAGGTTCGGAGCAATGTGAGAAGGAGCAGGGGAGGGAGTAGAAGGAGGAAGAGGAGGAGGAGGAGGACAGGAGGCGCGAGAGGGTTACGATTCCAGTCGATCTGAGCTTGCGTAGTGTAAGAAGGAGAGGGGGGGAGGGAGGGAGGGAGGGAGGGAGGGAGGGAGGGGAGGGAGGGAGGGACGGAGAAGAGCGGGAGGGAGGAGGGGAGGGTGGCACGGCCAGGGACAGGACTCGGAGGAGGCACAAGGAGGAGGAGGAGGAAGGAGGAGGAGGAAGGAGGAGGATGAGGGCGAGGAGGAGGATGAGGAATAGGAAGTAGATGGGGGCAGGCAGCTCCACCCCAAGACTGGCCCGCGGCGCTCGCGGCGTCTCTCTGTATATGGGGGGCCTCCGGGCATGAAGCGGGCTGGGGGGGGGGAGGGGGGCGCGCAAAACCGGATCCTCCGCACCCGACTTCCGGATCCTGGAGCCTCGATCTTCGACCCTCGCCCTTCGTACCCTCGACGCCTCGATCCTGGAACCTCGAGCCTCGTGTGCCCTCTCGCCTCCTGGCCCCCCGATCCCAGATCTGCGGCCCCTCGGCCCTCGGCAGTCTCCTCTGCAGGAGGCCGACGCCCCGCCGGCGCCGCCGCGGCCGCCCCCGCTGGATGTTGCGGCGCGCGGCGCGGGGGACTTCGCGGCGGGGGGCCTCGCGCTGCCCTTCGGGGCCTGACCAGTCCTTGGAGTCTAGGCCTCCCAGACGGGGTGTCCGAGGAGGTGGGGTCGGATGATCGCGCCGCATCGCTGATGCATCGGCGATGCGGCTCTGTGTGGAGCCCGATTTTCTTCACGCCGACGGTACCCATGCATCGCCGATGCATCGGCGATGCGGCGCGACCCACTGACCCGATCTACTCGGACCCCATCTGGGAGGTCTAAGGGTGTCGGTCACGACGGGGGTGGACGCAGCTGTCGAATTAGAGCCAATGTCCCCATTGTCGGCGCACGTCCAGTGCTTCGCGCCCAAAGTGGTGTGACCCGAGTTCACTGTTTGTCGGGGATTCGCCCTTCCGCGTAGGCTTTGTGCTGAGCATCGGAATGGGAGGAGCGGGGGGGTGCATGGTTTTGTCCGAACCTTCCTCCTTCTCACCTGTTTTTCTTGCCCCTCATCCTTCTCCTCCCCTTCCGCATCCCTTTGCCACCTCTGCTCCCCCTCCTCCTCCTCCTCCTTCTCCTCCTCCTCCCTACTATAATCGTTTCTCTTCCTCTATCCTCTCCATGTCCCCTCCTTATCCTCCACTCCTACTTTTTCTCCTGCTCCTCTTGGCCATCCTCCGCATCCACCACCTCTTCCTCCTCCTCCACCTCCTCCTCCTCATCCTCTTCCTCATCCTTCACTTCCACTCCCCACCATTGCCCCTAATGAAACGCAACACCACCATGGGGATCATCGGCTTACGGGTACGGCCGATCCATCAACCAATGTGAAAAGTGAAGACTCAACATACTTATATTTCCTCGGGGATGTGGAAGATGGCAGCGGGTCATTACATGAACTGCAGGCTTCCAATTGCATGCTTGCAAATGTAAATTTTCGATTGCGCATGCGTTCGTAGATTCCTTATGGGCCCAGAGAGGACTATAAGTACGCCCGTCATGCGGATTTGCTCCTCGACCTCTGTGCGATCGCGGGCAATGCCTTCAAAGGCACTTCCGACTCGCTGGGCCTCCGCAACATAGGCGAATGGCCATGAATTCGCATCATCTCGTCCTCCTCCTCCTCCTCCTCCACCTCCACCTCCCGCCTCCTCCCGCCACCCCCTTATTTTTCTTCCACCCCCCTCGCCCTCTGCCGTCCTCGTTCGTCGAATTTGCAAGCTAGAAGTGCTCCAGTCCTGTGACCCCCCGCGCGCGTGGCTGCGCCGTGAGGTCGGCGAACAGAAAGGGTGCCTGGAAGCGGTCTGCTGGTTGTGGGACAGCGGCAGGGAGGAGGGAGGGAGGAGGGAGGAGGAAGGAGGGAGGAGGGAAGTGGGAGAGAACAGCGCAGCCTTGTTAGCATGGCAGCGCGCTAGGCCACTCGAGAGATAGAGCTGGATGAGGAGGATGGGGGGGGGATCGCGAAGAGAAGGATGGCCAGAAAAGCAGGACGAGGAGGAGAAGGAGGTCTTCAGAGGCCCCTGCAGGACTACAGTGGGCCAGAAGCGACCATCGGCCTCCGAAGACGTCCAAGTACCGATCCCCGAGGGTCGAGTGCAGAACTTGGCACCTCCTTCTCATACTCCTCCTCCCTCAGGTGGACGCCCTCTACCAGAGGCTGACTGGCGGCGGGAAGCCCGACCAGCGCGCCTTCGTGGCGCTCATGCAGGAGCTGTCTGAGGTGCCTGGCTCGGAGGAGCTGTGCACCACGCCGGACCAGCTGGAGAGCGTGTTCCGGCGCCTGGACGCCGACAACGACGGCGAGCTCAGCAAGGGCGAGTTCGCGGCCCTCCTCCTCCCGCGCCTCGCCTGCGCGCGCCCGGTAAGCGTCACGGACTCTGCCAAGATCGAGTCCAGCACGACCGTGTGTAAGCTGGAGACGGGCGATGTGGTGGAGGCCCTGGAGGACCCCGTCGAGCTGCCTCTGCTTGACGTCACTCGCCTTCGCTGCAGGGTGGCCAGTACCGGCAAGGAGGGCTGGGTAACCCTGAAGGGCAACCAGGGCATGCATTATTTAATCGCTTCGCTCATTCCGCCGGCCCATACAGTCTCATGTCTGCCGTTTGCCCGAGGGCCTGGTGTCAATGCGGCGCTTTGGGGGTTCCTGGGGCCGCTTGGGGCACTCCTGGGGCGCTCGGGGGGGCATTTGGGGGGCCTCCTGGGGCCGCTTGGGGGACTCTTGGGGGCCTCCTGAGGGCCCCGTGGGGGCCTCTTGGGGCCTCTTAGGGGCCTCGTAGGGGCTTCTTAGGGCCGAGGGCTCGAAATGTTGTTTCGTGTTCCCTCTCTGGGGCCCCTTTGGGGGCGTTCTTGGGGCCCTCTTGGACCGTTTTGGAGGCTTCTTGGGCCGTCTTCGAGCCCTCTTGGGCCATCTTGGGGCCCTCTTGGGTGCCTCTTGGGCCCTCTTGGGGCGATCTTGGGGGCCTCTTGGGCCGTCTTGGGGCGTCGGGAAGCCGAAAAGGTGGAAGCTCCAAAATCTCTCAAAAACCTATGGAAAAACAATGATTTTTGCCTCCGGGGGCCCTATTGGGAGTGCTCTTGGAGGCCTCTTGGGGCGTCTGGGGGCTATCTTGGGCGTCTTGGAGCGATCTTGTGGCATGTCGGACCCCTCGTGTACCATCTTGGGGGCCTCTTGGGGGCCTCTTGGCCTTTCTTGGGGCTCTCGGGGACGTCTCGGAGCCCTGTTGGTGCGCTCATGGAGCGCTCGGGGGGACCCGGCCGGGACCTGGTCGGGGTACTTTTCGTCCGGGGACCCCCAGGGGCCGCCCCGCGCGCGCGAACTAGAAAATTGTTAACCAGTTACCGGAGATCTTCGCACGCCTCTGGCCCGTTGGGCCGGCGAATCTGGAGGCCTACTCTCCGTTCGGCAGCTTCAGCAGGTCCATCGACAGGTGCCTGGACTCGTGCTCCCGAGAGCTGAGGCAGGCGCACGACCACATCTCGAAGAAAAAAGTCGGCATGAATGTAGAAGCTTTCGGAGGTCCGCGCGGATTTCTCGGGTCGGTGCTGAAGCCCTCCCTCCCTGGCGCGCCATGAAAGTGGGGGTCCAGCGCCAGCCCAAGAAATCCGCGGGGACCTCCGAAAGTCCATGTTCGTGCGGATGTTGATTCTTCCAGCATCAGGATCGGGGGTCGCCAAAGGCCCCGACCCAAGTTGTTTCCATGATTCTCACGGGAGGACCAGGCGTCCTCTGGGCCCCCCCACCACGAGGTCCCAGGATGGCCCCAAGCTGGCGCGAAGAGCTGGGGACCACGCTGGGCCAGGGACGCACCGACGCACCCTGAGTGGAAACGGGGATGCGTCCGTGGGGGGGGGGGGCAGTAAGCGCTGGCCAGTGGCAAGCCACAGATGGTGTTCGTGCGATCGCACCGAGCCATGCTGACAGAAACCTCGTCAGTGATTCGTTGATAGATTGGTTGCTTGACCTCTACCCTCATCTTCCCATCGCCCAGTCATCGCCCACCGGGGCCTGGGCACCCCGCCCGAGAGCGCGCGGATCTGGTACTGGGCACCCCTCCCGAGCACGTGCGGTTTTGCTGTTCCCCTCACACCCTCACACCCTCGGCTGGGATGCAACTCCATGGGAGGCTAACTTCAGCATCGGCGCTGGTATGCCCGTAGTCGAAGTCGGGAAGTAGCCAAACTATTCTGGGGTAACTAATCTGGCTCAGTCCTGGGCTTCATCCCGCCTTGTCCAGCGTGCTGGTCTCCCCTTGTGCGGGCCTCTTGATTCCTCTCGCTTCGTGGGGTGCACGTTCAGAGCGCGTGCAGTCCAGTCGTTGCGTGGCCTGGTGGGAGCCTCTTCGGGGCCTCTTGGAAGCCTCTAGGGAGCGTATTGGGGCCTCCTGGGGGCTTGTTCGGGGCCACTCGCCCCCTCTTGGGGGCGTCTTGGGTAGTCTCGGGCCCCTTCGGAGGCCGTCATTCGGGCCTCTCGTGGCCGCCTTGGGGCCCTCTTGGGGTCCTCTGGAGCATTCTTGGAGGCCTCTTGGACAGTCGTGGAGGCCTCCTTGGGCCGTCTCGGGGCCCTGTCGGGTTGTCTTGGGGCACTCTCGGGGGTTTCTTGGGCCGTCTTGGGGCTATATTGAAGGCTGCTTGGGCTGTCAGGGGCCTCTCGAAGAAGAACGAGGCGAGAACGCTAAAATCCTTCAAACACCATCGGAAAATTGTTGTTTGTGGCTTCTGGGTGCATTTGGGGCTCTCTTGGGGCCCTCTTGGGCCTTCTTGGGGGCTTTTTGGGCGGGCCCCGAATCATAGATTTGCCATAGGTTTTTGTAGATTGTGAGGCCAGAAGGGGTTCACCACGATTGGTCGACGGATGCGGCGTGGACCCTGGGGGGGCTAGGTGGGAGACATAATAAGGTAGCACAATGCAACATGTGACGATTCTGCAATGATTGGATACATTGGATACGTTGCATTTGGGCTTCCGCTCCGCTGCGCGACCTGCTTCCGGCAACACGTCACTTCCAGACGTGGGTTCCTCCCGCTTCGCGGGGTGCACGTCCAGAGCACGTGCAATCCAGTGGTTGCGGGGCCTGGTGAGAGCCCCGTCGTGGCCTCTTGGAGGCCCCTTGAGGGCCCCTATGGGTTCTTGGGGGCTGCTTTGGGGCCTCTTGGGGCGTCTTGGGCCGTCTGGAGGCGCTCTTGTCCGGTTTGGCCCCTCGGGGGGCCGTCCGGTGGGCCTCTCCCGGCCGCCTTGGGGCTCTTTGGGGGTCCCTTTGGGCCGTCTTGGGGGCCTCGAAGACCGTCTTGCAGGCGACTTTGGGCCTTCTTGGACCGTCTTGGGGCCTTCTTGGGGGCTTCTTGGGTCGTGTTGGGCCTCTTGGACCCTTGGGGGTTCTTGGGGGCTGCTTTGGGTCCTCTGGGCGTCTTGGGGCCGTCCTGGACCGTCTTGAGGCACTCTTGCGCGGTTTGGCCCCTCGGGGTGCCGTCCGGTGGGCCTCTCGCGGCCGCTTTGGGACTCTTTGGGGGTCCCTTTGGGCCGTCTTGGGGGCCTCGAAGAACGTCTTGGAGGCGACTTTGGGGCCTTCTTGGACCGTCTTGGGGCCTTCTTGGGGGCTTCTTGGGTCGACTTGGGGCCATTTGGGAGGCTGCCTGGGCCGTCATGGGCCCTGAGAGTCGAAGAAGGTGAGAACGCTAACACCCATCAGGAACCGAAGGCAAGTCAAGGTTTTGGCCTCTGGAGGCGATCTCGGGAGTCCTCTTGGGGCCCTCTTGGGCCTTCTTGGGGGCTTTTTGGGTCCTCTTGCGGCCATCTTGGACCGTCGTGGGGTGGTCTTGGCCCGTCTTGAGGCCATCTTGAGCCGTCTTGGCGCACTCTTGGACCCCGACGAAGCCCCAGAGGCCCAAATCATAGATTTGCCATCGGTTTTTGTGAGTTTTGAGCCCTGGAAGGGTCGACGGATGTGGGGTGGCCCCAGGGCGGGATTAGGGGGAGACGCAATGATGCACACTCATTCAACACGTTGCATTTACGCAAGACGATACGTTGCAATTGTGTCGTCGTTGGATATCTTGGATACGTTGCATTAAGGCGTTCGCCGAAACACGCTGCCGCTGAGCACGTCACCTCTGGACGTGGATTCTCCAGGCTTGCGATACATCCGCCGACCCCCCGCACTGAAGTTCGTTCCGTATGGCCTTCCGGGGCGTCCAGGGAGTCTCTGGTTGGCCTCTTGGTCGCGTCTGGTGGGCCCTTTGGGCATTACCAGAAGCTAATTGGAGGCTTCCTCGGGCTTCTTTGATGTCGAGCTCCAGGGGAAGGAGCGGAGCAGGTGGAAGGGGGCAGCTATTCATCGCACATGTCTTTGCACATCCAGTGAGCGGGCGTCGGCGGATCCCCCACTTATCCCGATCCGACTTGTCCTCTCCCTGGCATCGCATTGTCTCTTTTCGCGATCTCCTCCTGGACTCCCGTTCTTCTGGGCATTCGGGGGAAGTCCTCGTCACGACGGCCAGGCGCGGCTCGGGCCAGGACGGCGGTCCAGAGGGCCTAGGCGCTGGCTTTGAGCGGATTCTCTGAGAATGACTGAGGAGGAGGAGGAGGAGGAGGAGGAGGAGGAGGAGGAGGAGGGCGAGGGGAATCCTGAGAGGCGAGGGTGAGGATGCGGAGGAGGAGTATGCGGAGGAGGAGGAGGAGGAGGAGGAGGAGGAGGAGGAGGACGAGGAGCAGAAGGGGGAGGAGGAGGAGGATGTCGACGACGACGACGACGAGGACGCGGACGAGGGCGAGGATGAGAAGAACGAGGGAGGAGTATGAAGAATGAGGAGGAGGAGGAGGAGGAGGAGGAGTAGGAGGAGGAGGAGGAGGAGGAGGAGGAGGAGGAGGATTGGGAATGCGCTGGAAAGGGGAGGGCGGAGGAGGGAAATGGGGGGAGGGGGCCAGAGGCAGAGGGGGAGAAGAAGACCTTTGCAAGCATCCTCCCGCATCCTCGTCGCGGGCGCTCACGTAGAGCGACTTTCGGACGCCCGATGGCCTTGCATGGGCGCCCAAGAGGGTTGCATGTTACGCAGGTTTGTGCTGCCTCGACGCGGCGACGACGCCGGAGTTCAATATGCAAGTCTAACAGATGCTCTCGAAGGGCCCGTTTCGGGTTTCAGGACCGGCAGACGGCGCGAAATCCATGCGACAGATCGGGTCCAGAGTTTCCTGTGAGGGCTCCCGGCAGCGGAAATCGCTCGAGGCTGAACGGTCCGTGCTGTGGGTGGACCACACGGCCCACGGCCTCATGGCATGAATTTTGCTGTAAAGTCGACTTGCTGAACATACTTGTAGAGGCGTTTACGAAGTGCGAATTTCAGAGGAAGCAAAGGCCAGCGTTTTGTAAATAATACACGGCGGTGATAAAATGCGTGGACGAATAATGGTGCAACATGTGCAGTGAATGGGCAACGAACGCTGAGGGGCGAATGGGCCGGCGCTGTACGGGTGGCGACCGGGGCGACGCGGAAGTTGGCGATGCGGAAGAGCCGAAAACTCTTCGGACGATGTGTTGCGCGAAGTTCAGCCATATCACGGCACAAGGAAATTCGCGCCGTGGCAACGCGCAGTGGAACAAAAGCGTTGGCACAATACGATGTTCGAATGACATGTGTCTGGCGCTTTTCGAAGAGAAAGCGGCGATATTGGAAACGCAGAAGAAACAATGCAGCCGGGGAGGCGCTGTGTTGGAAATGCGCGGAGGAGGGTCAAAAGTTGACGCTCAATGCCAACAATCGCAAGCGGAAAGTGGACGCGGAAACAAAGGTACCAACGTGCGCAGCGTGTGGGGGTAGCCGCATCGGAAACGAAACGTTCAAATCAGTTAGGGGACAAGTGGAACATCAACGGGAGACGTCACAAACAAACTACGCGCGGTGTGCGCAGATTGCGCGGCCCTCGGTTTCACGGCGCGCAGTTGGTAGGCGCATCAGTGCAGCGGCGCGTGCCACAACAACAATTGCCGAAGTCGGCGTTCTCCGTGAGAGGCGGCCATAAAGCGCGCGCGCCGAACAAATACATCTTGAAATGCAAATCTCCCCTTAATCGGGCCTCTTTAATTTGCTCTTAGTCGTTCTTGCGAAGACCTCCCAGGAACTGGTTCCTAATATCCCCCGTGTCCTCCCAGGACAGGTTTTTCATCCCGCCTCGTCTTAGGATGGTACCAGAGTCCAGAAGGGGCCCCTGGGGGCAGAACATGGGAAAGAACGATTGTGATCTTTTCGCGGCGCGAGCATGCCTGCGCCTTTTGTCGCCCCCCCGTTTGGCGGCCGCGGAAACGGCAATGCGGCTTGTAAGTTTGGCCATTGTCATAAACATTTTGCTGGAATGCGAAAGTGGTAAAACAAATGTTCCTGGGGTGCTAACGCGGTTTTGGCAGTGGAGCCTGAATTCGAAACAAAGAAGGCACGGTGACGGGATTGGGGATATCTAGTCGTGCCGGCACTGGCTGAGAGACGTCAAAAAACATGGGTACCAAAACGGTGCCCTGCCGTTTCCAAGACCGCATTTTTTGGGCGCCCCCGATTGCAACCGCATTGGGGCGGAAATCAACCATTTAGGTTCCAATTCCAACCGCCGCGGTTTACCCCAACTCCCTCCCCCCCCTCCCTTGGTCGAGCGTGGGCCGCCCCAGTTTTTGAGTTTTCATTCTTGAGATGTTCTGCGTTGCTTTCTCTCAGCGTAGTGTGTGTTCTGTGCACGCTCTCTGCGGTGACACCCCGCCGTCTGCTTTTACCTCTGATAGAGATATCTTAGAGATTCCTCAGAGCTCCCTCAGAGATTCTTTAGGGCCGCACAGTTGGGGCGCCCCTCCCCGCCGAGGATGAAGGGCAGGGACCTCAGCAGTGCGAGCGAGGGCCCGCTGCTGCGGGCCCGCGGGGAGCTGGCCAAGCTGCAGCCGAGGGCGACGAACCCGCGCTCGGCCCCGCGCGCGCGCGCGAGGGTGGCCCCCAGGCTGCTTGTGGGGATGGGGGTCTGGTTAGCAAATCGTGGTATTCTCGTATATCTCCTGAGTTCCGTCGCAAGCGTCGACCAGCGCCCATTAGCGTCTGGTAGTCGATCAGGCAGCGTCGATTTAGCGTCGATTTGCGTCGAGTCGCGCCGATTCGGAAAAGCCAACAAGATGGTACGGGAGGTCCCCATGATTTGCCACCGAAGGGAGGGAGATCGCGAGTGGCGAACATCGAGGGACACACAATCACGTTAACATCGAGTTTTTGGAGCTCCGCGCGGATTTCTTCTATCGGCGCTGGACCCCCTCCCTGGCGCGCGGATCGCGCCAGGCGCGGCGCAGGAGGCGCCGCCAGGGGGTTCCAGCGCCGATCTGAAAATCCGCGCCGACCTCCGGCAGTTCACGTCTATGCCATTGTTTGCTTCCCGAGAACATATCCGCACCTGCGCACTAGCGGTCTAGAAATCGGGGCGCGATCCCGCGGATACGCAGTCGCACGGATACGTTCCGCGCGGAGCATCCGCGAAAAAACGCTCCGTATCCGCTGGGTCGCGGCCCAAGAACCTGGCCCATCAGGCCACGGATACGGATATGTTTTCGCCCATGAGAAGAGGGACGACTGGAGGAATGCGAAGACGACTGGAGGAATGCAAACGAGGCACCCGTCAGCAGCAACTTCCGCGCCCCGAACCTTACATATCATGCAATGTAACGCACGGTCGCGGATGATGAGGAGGAGGTGGAGGACGAGGAGAAAGGAGCAGGAGAGGATAAGGATACGGAGGAGGCTTGTGCACGGCCGCGGGGTGCAAGCAACCCGACCCCATCGTTGGGTGCACGAAGCATTGGCCCGATGCAAAGAGTTGGAAAGGAACGGGGAGCAGAAGAAGCGCTGGTTGGAGGGGAGGCGGGGGCCCAGATGCCGTTCGGAGAGCAACCCCTAGAGTTCTCATGACCTGTACATACATATACATACACATAGATGTATATGAGCGTATGTGTGTAAGTATGTATGTGGTTGTATGTATGTGTATACATATATATATATATATATATATAGAGACTATTGATAAGTACCGCCCCCCCCCCCCAGCCCCGGGTCCCACACCTCCCCGTGACATCTCGGGGACGCTCCCCGTACTGCTCCCCCGGCCTTTCCGGGGAGCCTCCACAGCGCTCCAGGAGGGCCCAAGACGCCTCCCAGGAAGTCCTAGAATGTGAAAGGATGACCCAAGACGCTCCCAAGCAGCCCAAGTCAGCCTTCCGTCGGCTCTCGAGGATCCCAGGTGGCCTCCAAGAGACCCCAAGAGAGGTCCGAGAGGCGTCCCGGGACGGCCCGAAGAGGCCAACATCGTTTTGGTTTCTCGCGTTTCGAGCTTCCAACGGTCCAAGAGCGCCGAAGAGGCTCCCAAGACCGCCCCAAGACCACCCAAGAGACCCTCAGGACGGCCCCAAGACGGGCCAAGAAGGGCCCAAGACTGCCGAAGAGGCGCCCAGGACAGCCCCAGACCACCCCAGAACAGGCCCAAGATGGGCCCAAGAGCGGGAGCAGGAGGCTTCCAGAGACCTCCGAGAGGCCTCCGGGACCACCCAGAGGCCCCCAACACACCCCCGATCCCTGAGAGGCCCCAACAAGACCCCGACGAGGCTCAAAGCACAGCCCAGGAGAGCTGCGAGAGCCGTCCCGAAATCTTTGGGTAAAATCGTTGATTTCCAACTGTTTTTTTCAACGTTTTTCGCCTTCTCACGTTTTCTCATTTCCAACCCTCAAAGATCCAGGATTTCGGAAGCAAAAAAATATAAAAGGAATTCCAACAATCCCTCGTTTTTTTCAAAGTGGAACTCCTACTCGAGGGTCCTACACATCCCCTGACATCTGGCCGGTACCGCGCCTCCCAGCTTCTCGGGGGGCCCCCAAGACGCCCCAGACGACCCCAAGGAGCCCCCAGAATGTAAAGAACAGCCCGGCACGATACTGCGCAGCCCGAGACACCCTTCCGACGGCCCTCCAGGCCTCCAGGAGGCCTCCCGAACACCCAGGGGGTCCGGAAGATCTCACACCCCTGAGGGGCCCGGCTAACAAAACCCGCGAGGCACAAACAAAACACAGCACCGAACAGCGCCGAGGATCTGGAGAACAGTGGAAACCACTCTTGCACAACAGACCACAATTCAGACCCCCCTCACCTCCCAAAAAAGAACCCTAGAAGCCTTTGAGGGCCCCAACTCGTTGAACACCTAAGGAAATTAAGTATTTCTGCGTTTCCGCGCTTCCCCTTCGATGCGATACCGGGGCTTGCGCAGGGCCTCCAATGGAGTCCCTGGACGCAATGAAGCGACCAAAATGATATTACATGAGACAGAGCGCGTTCCGTGGTTGCTTGAAGGGGGGGGGCGGGCGGTCGGAACCGGACCCCCCCCACTTCACCTGGATGGAGGGGGGTTGTGGTTTCGATCCCCCCCCTTCCTCCCCTAATTCTCTTCTCTTCCTCTCCTCGGGCCGGCGCCTGTGTCGGCGACTGGCGGCGGCAGCGGGGACGACGATTTCCTTTTCTGGCCCGGCGCCGGCGCCTGCGGCGGCGGGCGGCGACGACGGGGATCGTCGACGAGGACGACTGTGGTGGTGGTGGTGGGTTGTGGTGGTGGTGGTGGCGGTGGTGGTGGTTGTAGTGGTGGTGTGGTTGCTTGTTGTTGTGGTGGTGGTTGTGGTGGTGAGGGTGGTGGTGGTGGTGGTGGTGGTGGTGGTGGTGGCTTGGTGGTGGTGTGGTGGTGGGTAGTGGTGGTGGTGGTGATGGTGGTGGTGGTGGTAGGTTGTGGTGGTGGTGGTGGTGGTTTGGTGGTGGTGTGGTGGTGGTTTGTGGTGGTGGTGGTGGGTTGTGGTGTTGGCGGTGGTTTGTGGAGGTGGTGCTGGTAGTTTGTGGCGGTGGTGGTGGTGGTGTGGTGGTTTGTGGTGGTGGTGGTTGGTTGTGCTGCTGGTAGTGGTCTGTCTGTTTGTCTGTTTGTAGCTCCTCTGCCTGTTTGTCTGTCTGTATGCGCTCCTCTTCCTGCCTGTCTGTTGGTAGCTCTCTCTGTCCTTCCATCTATTTTCCACACGTGCGAATCATCTTCCACTACGCCCGGTTGCCGGGACTGCGTGTCCCATACGCCTACCCTCTTAGAGGACCGCCCCATAGGGGCTGGAATGTGGGTGTCGCATCGCATCGCATCGCATCGCTGTTAGTGGTGGTGGTTGTGGCGGTGGTGGTGGTGGTGGTGGTGTGGTAGATTGTGTTGGTGGTAGTGGTGGTGGGTTTTTGTGGTGGTGGTGATGGTGAGTTGTGGTGGTGGTGGTTGTGGTGATGGTGGTGGTGGCTGTGGTGGTGGTGGTGGTGGTGGTTGTGTGGTGGGTTGGTGGTGGTGGTGGTGGTGGGTTGAGGCGGTGGTGGTGGTGGTGGTAGTAGTGGTGGTGGTTGTAGTGGTAATCGTCGCTGCGTCCCCGCCGTCGCCGGCGCCGGGGGGGGGGGTTTGAACACCGCTGCCGGCGCTGCTGGCGGCCGCCAGCGCCAGTGCCGGCGCCGGCGCCGAGGGGAGGGGGGTGGGGGGGCTTTGAACCCATCCCCCCCTTGGGAGCAGGGGGGGGTTCGGGAGTGGGGGCGGTTTGGGGCGGGAGGGGAGGCCTCCGTTTTAATCGACAACGCCGAGTGTTGGGGGGGGCCCACCCCCGGTTTGAAACGCGCCGCCGAATGTTCCCAAGGCAAGCGCCCGTGAAACGCGCTCTCTCTCTCTCTTGCATGAGTGAGCCTATCAAGCCTAACTAGAACTTGAGCACGCGCGAAGTAGGCGCGATGGTTCGGGTACGTGTATATATACACATCTGTACATGTCTGTAGTAGCGTATGATTGTTTGTATGTATGTATGTGTGTGTACGGTGTACGCATGTATGTCTATCTGTTTGTATGTCTGTATGTGTGTGTATGTATGTATGCATGTATGTATGTATGTATGTATGTATGCATGCATGCATGCATGTATGTATGTATGTATGTATGTATGTATGTATGTATGTATGTATGTATGTATGTATGTATATCTGCATGCATGTCAAGGGCCCTCAGGGCCAGGACCTCCCCTGTACATTCTGCCCCCCCCCCCCCCCCGGGCCAGGTCTCGTGGAGACACCCGAGGTTCTGGGGCCGCCCGAAAGCGCTCCAAGAGCGCCCAGGATGGCTTCCATACCGCCCAAGAAGCTTCCAGGACGCCCCGAGAAAGCCCCCAAACCGCTCCGAGACACTTCAAGAAGGTTTCAAAAGGCGCCAAAAGGCTCCCCAAGAGGGTCCCAGGAGGCCAAAGTCGTCCCATTATTTTCGGACAACGTAGATGTGTATACGATTCCCTGTTCCGGCCTCAACAGTATCCAAGACTGCCCAAGAGGCGTCCGAGGGGGTCCCAAAACTGTTCGAGAGGGCCCCAAGACGGTTCAAGAGGGTCCCAAGACGGTCCACGGAACGCCCAGGACAGGCCAAGAGAGCCCCCGAGTCCCCCAAAGGAATTCCCAGAAGACCCCAAGAGAGAGGGTCGTGGGGCACTATTTTGGGATGTATAGCTCCCAACATGCCCTCACGACCCGCGCGGAGGCCTTCAGGACACTGCTAAGAGGCCCCAACACCGAGAAGCCCCCAAGACGCTCCGTAAGGCCCCCAAGAGGCCCCGCAGATGCCCCCAATAGGCCCCGAGAGGCGGGCAAAGGGAGAGGTGACGGCGCACCGAGCGGCTCCGTGATGCAGCGAGGCACACCAGCACACACAGACACACGCACAGACACACGCACAAACACACACACACATACACACATACACACACATACACACACACGCACACACGCACGCACGCACGCACGCACGCACGCACGCACGCACGCACGCACGCGCACACACACACACAAACACATTGTTTGGGGTCTGCGGGTCGGGAGCGGGCCCCTTCCTGTCACGAGCTAAACGGGGCGCGAGTAGCCCTAATTGGGACACACAACACACACATACACACAAACACACACACACACGCACACGCACACGCACGCGCACGCGCACACGCACACGCACACGCACACGCACACACACAAACACACACACACACACCGCACAAACACACACACACACGCCACACACACACGCCACAGCCACACACACACACACTACATATATACTCACACACCTACAACATTCGTTTCGTGCATGCACGCACGTCC